AATGCGTAATTTCATCAAAATCCAGAGCATGAAACTTTTTGGGGTGTCACGAAGAGTCCCGGATACAATCTCCTGTGTCCGAGATAAAGCGGAGGGATGACACGCAATACAGGTCATTAAATGGGATTTGGACCCACAGTGTTGCGAGTACATGGTGTGCCTCTTAGCCCATTGAGCCATGAGGACACCCCAAATGGTTTTTTATCTCTGGCCCCATTGAGAACCAGTATTGAGCTGACAATCCCCGTCCTCTCTGGAGGTGGCCTTTTACCTCAGCTCATTGTAGTCTGTGACTGGGTGCCCGCGCTATCTAGCATCTATTGATTCCGACTTCATCTGGACCAAAGCAACACGGGAGAGGGGAGAGAGAGGGAGCAGGTGTGTTTGTGCAGCAGAGGAGAAAAGTCAAAGAAAAAAGGAAGATGAAGGCTGCTTCAAAAGTTGAAAGGGATTAAACTTGCCTTGTGATTACACACATTTGACACATTTTCATCTGGAACTGAAACCTAAACTTTTTTTTTTTTCTTTGACATTACAAAAAAGGAAAGAAGTAAGAGGAGAGAAAAGGAGTATAGATCCTAAAAAACCTGTTTGAGAAGGAAGGGCACCGTGAAAAAGACTGTGTGTATCAACAACTTCATTGCGATCTGCCACAAAATGTAATGGGTTCTTCCTTGGCCAATGCTACAAGTTTCAGGAAATTAGGCCAGTTTTTCCATAGTCCCGCTGACAAACACACAAACAGACCTACAAACTGAACCAAAGAAACATAACCTTCTCAGCTGGTTTAGTCAATATAGGCTGGAAGAAGAATATGAGGACAGAAACGTAAGGAAATGACCATTAAAGACAAAAAGGAAGAGTGGGTGCAATGACCAAAGTAGGGTCATAAAGGAAATAGTAAGAATATTAGGACGAAATATTAGGACGAAAGCAAAAAGGTGAAATGTCAGGCAATACAAATGCAAATAAAGGAGGGATAGGAAAAGGAAGATTCCTCCTCTCTGCTCTCCACTCTTCCATATGATCGAGTTCTCTCCGCCTTACAATCTGTTCTCTATAATTACCTGTTGTGTGTGTGTGAATCCTCATTATAACATTAGTTAAATAAGTCTAGTTAAGCTCATTTATTTATAGAGAAATGCAACTCTAACTCTGGAGATCTAAAGTCCTCTTAAACAAGCTTAATTTTATTGGCTTGATGATGATGATTTTAAACTTAAAAACATTTTTAAAGGCAATGGACTTTCATGTGTTTTTATCTGTGATTGGTGTTGAAACTGACATTTTGGATAGGGTTAGTGGCATATTGATAAAAAACCAGTTGAATTGTAAATAAAGAACTCTTTCCATTGAGTTTAGACCATCCAAAGTGTCCATGTCAGTGCTATAGCAGCAAGTAAATAAATCAGACATAAGATACAAAAGTCAGTGCTTCTCGCCAGTTATTGGATATTGTTTTGTGACAGGAACAAAAACCAGCGAGGGCCAATATGTGGATCAGGTTACTGAGATCAGAAGGAGAGAACATGGTGAAAGAGATGGGGAAAGGAAAGAAGAGAGAAACAAAAGGGTGGGATCAGAAAAACGAGAGGTAAAGGTAGCAAAAGAGGAAGATGGTAGGGAGAGAAAGTCAGAGAGAAAGAGAGATGAGACAATCCATCTTGGCACATTAGGGGGGGATCAAGCCTACACTCCATCATGGCTGTCACACGGATCCACACCTCCTCTCCTCCATCCATCCATCCCTCGTTCGCTCCGCCGACCGGCATTTCTCTGAAGAATCTCAACGCTAAAAAGTCCTGTCAGGCCTATTTCCTTGTTATCGCCCACCCCTCTCCTCCTCACCCCTCCTGACTCCGATACCTTCCCTCCGCTCCCGGAGATTAAACGCACCCGTGTTGCGCCTCAGGGTGTACGTGTGTGTGAGGTCCAAAGCAGGACATGTGGGAAGTGTGTGTGTGTGTGTGTGTGTGTGTGTGTGTGTGTGTGTGTGTGTGTGTGTGTGTGTGTGTGTGTGTTGCCCTCGACATTAATCATCTTTAAGGCGCTGACAAGTCTGGTGTGCGACATCACATCAACACCCTTCTCCCCCCTTTCTCCTCTTCCCTCTTCTTCTTCTCCCGTGGATTTATCTGTCCGGTCGCCTCCCCCCCGTCACTCACTTCCCTCAGGGAGCGTTTGATGGAGGAATATAAATATAGGGGGAGAAAAAGGAAGCAACACAAGGGGTGAAAGACGGTGACATCACACAGGTTTAAAACATATTAGAAGGAAATAGAGAACAGGAGAGAAATAAAAATGGATTGACGGTTTAATTTAGCATAAAAACAAAAAAATCGTTTTTTACATTTTAAAAGTGCAGAGTGCATTTTCAACTCTTAAATCTCAGCTAGATCTTGTGCAAGAGTAAAATATTTCTCGACTTTTGCCAATGTTTTACGTCATTTTTTTTACCATCTTTACATGTGTACTGCGATTCATACATCATTTTGCCATTTTTAACCACATTTAGTTTCTAGATTTTTGCATGTTTTTGTGTTATAGTGGGCTAAACGCAATTCCCCACTCTGGTGGACAATAAAGTTGTAACTGCTGTTACATTTCCACCTGTTCCGTCACATCAGTCAAGTTCAATTTGTGTCCCCTGTGTTTGCAGTTAGGAGACAGTTAGGTATTGTACCTGTTCTGAGACAGCTGAATAGACTTTACACAACACAAAACTGCTCCACTTTAGTCTTTCCTTTTGTTGATTGTCTACATTGTGTTGTCACACCCATGCCTCTACATTTCTTTTCATTGCTTTTTTTCTTTTTAATAACGCAAATAAAAGTCACATCAAGGCAGAACATTCCACAATTAAAAGGAAAATCATTGCACATTGAAATGCTAAAAAAAGAATATACTCACATTGTGCAAATACGCATTTGCTTTATAAAAAAATAACATGTTTTTATATTAGAAAAGCTACAAACTTAAAATAATCAAAAACGGGCATCAGTGTGTGTGTGTGTGTGTGTGTGTGTGTGTGTGTGTGTGTGTGTGTGTGCGTGCGTGCGTGCGTGCGTGCGTGTGTGTCCTCCAGGTGTGTGTGTGTGTCTGTGGAATAGAAAGAGCCCCATCAGCTGCAGACAGGGATTGGATCTGTCTTTGTTTGCTGTGGCGGATGGCGACGGCTTCAGCATGACTCAAATTATCTTGTCAAAGCAATAAAGGGGAGAAGAAAGAAGGGGAGGGGGGATAGAAAGAGAGATGGAGAAACAAGGAGAGAGAGGGGGGGATATAGTGGAAGGGAAGTGCACTGGTGGAGGAGACAAAGCAGAGAAGAAGAGATGAGCAACACGAAAAAAGGAGAAAAGCGAGAAAAGTGAACAATGAAATAATCAGAAAGGAGATGAGAGATAGAAGTGAGGGGGAGACAGAAATGAAACAAATAAATGGATGGTAGGGAGAAGAAAATTAGAAATGGATGAGGCTGGAGGGAAGGAGCTCAGAGACGGGTTAGGTGTTGGGGGGGGAGAGGTAGAGAAAGAGAGGCAGAGGAGGAGATAGAGAGTAATCGATTACCTATTTTTCAAAGTCACCTAACGTGTCCAGTGCTGTGGCTCTGTTAAGTAGCGATGCAGGAGAATGGGAGGCCGGTATGCACACACACGCTCTTAGAAAAAGAGGGGATGGGGGGTGGTGTGTGTGTGTGTGTGTGTGTGTGTGTGTGTGTGTGTGTGTGTGTGTGTGTGTGTGTGTGTGCGTGCGTGCGTGCGTGCGTGCGTGCGTGCGTGCGTGCGTGCGTGCGTGCGTGCGTGCGTGCGCGCGTGTGTTCCCCACTAGTTGTCTCTTGATGAGTTCACTCGCAGGAAACTGTTCTGACATACCAATATGTGAGCAAGGATACGTGTCCCCGGAGAGCTTTGTGTGCATTTTTATGTGTGTGTGTTTGTGTGTGAGCGAGAACCACCAAAGACAAGACAGATAGGGAGTCCCCCCTTACCTGGTCCTCCTGTTGCCGTGGTGACAAGCAGTCTAAACAGGATATCCTGGCTGAGGCGGACTCTTTTGTTCCCGGACTAAAAAAAGCCCATTTGATTGGCTAAATACAGGAAATCAGGAAGTGTCCTCCAACATTGAGCGCTCAGACACTTTCAATGGATTTTATTTTAAGCCAACTAACACAAACTTAAGAAAGTAGGATGTAGATAACAATACAAATACCAACACATAAAAAAAAACATGCAGAGAAAATGTACGCACTTTCAGACCGACACATTGAAACATGCACACACACACACACACACACACACACACACACACACACACACACACACACACACACACACACACACACACACACACACACACACACACACACACACAGGTGGGCCCAACCCTGTGCCCTGCTGATCAAGGACAATGAAGTGAGGTAGTGTTGGCAGACTCTATACAGCATTATCTCATCCAGTGCTGACACTTCTTTAAATCTGGTTTGACCTGAGAGGACACGGTGAAGACTGTGCAGCACTCTATTCCCTTTTCCGTCGGTGTGTAAAGCAGAATTATAATGCACATGCACTTAATGTGTGTGTTTTGAGATAGTAAATCCACAGTTCAAGCCACGCAAGAATACATATACTGCTTAAGTGTCCTTGGAAAACTGAAGGGCTGTCAGGTCAACTTTGGGTGTATTAGTGTGTGTGGCACGACAAACACAATTGGGTACATTTGATAAAACAATTTGGACAAGGAATATGAGCCTCTCTGGAAAGGATATCTAAGAAGAATTGTAAAAAAAAATTATATTTATTTATTTAATGTTTTATAAAAACTCAAGTCTTCAAACCAAAAGTCCACTAACAAGTGGGGGACCTCACCATGACTATGTCCACTTTTGATGAGAAAGACACAATATGGATGCAATATATATAAACAATAGGTGGGTGATGGGCTCCTGAATGACTATTTGCACATACTGACGTTTCTCCTTTTTCCCTGTTTCCTTTCTCCAGGTAAAAAGAAGATGTCCTTGTATGACAGCCAGGCTCCAGTCTGTCCCATCTGCCAGGTGCTGCTCCGGCCCGGAGAGCTCCAGGAACACATGGAGACGGAGATAGAGAGGCTAGCTGCCGTATGCTTCAGGTACGACTAAAATACATTCTCACACACACTATAGCTTCACACCATCCAGTTTATTAATGTTGCAAATACTGTTTCCTTGTCCGTCACATTACTATATCCTATTTTATTTTATGTTTTTTATGTTATATTTGCCCCATATTTCACCGTATTCACTATTTCGGGTCCTCTAAGGCCTTTTTTATTTCTATTTGACTTTATACAAGCCCCCCCTTGTTTTCCATCTTTCTGCAAACACATCGCTGCAAATCAAACTGATATCAATCTCCCAGACAAATACTTCAATCGATCATAAAGATGTGTATTTTTTAAGTCATGGGGTGAAGGCTGAGCTTTAACTCAGCTTTTATGTCATTCAGGCTGACTGCTATTCTGCCTTAGCAGAGATTTTTGGTGCCATAAATCTGCATAAAAGGCAGAGGCATGCGGACGACGTAACACTAAGTGTTTCCTGCAAGGATTAGGATTCAAACCTGTGACCTGGGGTCCACTCCCCCCCCCCCCTCCTCTCCTCATGGCAGTTGCACAAGCTGTTTTACGGTGGATAAATCAACTGCGAGCCCTTTTAACGATGGGACACAACCATTAGGATCCATATTTCACCTTGACCGCCCGTCAGGCTGTGTGTGTGTGTGTGTGTGTGTGTGTGTGTGTGTGTGTGTGTGTGTGTGTGTGTGTGTGTGTGTGTGTGTGTGTGTGTGTGTGTGTGTGTGTGTGTGTGCGTGCGTGCGTGCGTGCGTGCGTGCGTGCGTGGGGGTGCGGGTGTGTGTGTGTGTACATACGTGTGTAGCCTGTGTGACACTGTGTTTGTGTATGACCCGGTGTCCACCTTAGCGGCCCAGCTTTATGATAGTCCCCATTAACCTGGAGGAACAGGGCAACAGATAGCGTCACCCCGCTTGGAAATCACACTTCATTTACCCCCGTTTATACCTCCCACAACCCCCCCCCCTCCCGTCTGTTATCTTCAGTGTCCCAGGTTTCTTACCCAAATCTCTTCTTACTCTGTCTGAGTCTTAACCTGTCACCTCATCTCTCCATTACCAGATGTTGGATGATGCGAGCGAACATCAGACCAAAGCAGTGACATGGGGGAACCCATTGTCCTCCGTGTGAACGGTTTCATTTATATTCCTCCTTTACTTAAAGTTATAACAAAATGACTTTACATCTTCCAACAAGTGACCCATAAAAAAGGGGGAAAAAATGAGTTTATCAAAAGGTCTCAATCTCATGGCCTTCAGCCGATTAAGTTGGCTCGCTTATCAATGGATATTTGGTAAAGATGACTTAAAAAACTTGGTAAAATTGACATGAAATCATAAAAAACGTATTTTCTAAGTTCTCTTAAACATAAATGTTGATGTCTTGAGTGACTACCAATTCACAAAGTGTTCAATCAGATGCCTACATCAAAAAACATGATATTCAACAAGCCATTTGGACTTAAATAAACTTCCTTTGTCAAATGCAGGCTCATAAGAATATACAGCCCCTGTATGTCAACCAACATCTTTAGGACTACCTTTGCAAAGGTGCGCCACATTTTTCTCACAGCCAATTAGAATAGACTTTGCTTTTCCAAAGGAGGGTTAAAGGGACACGCGCTAAAATGATGCATTTGAGACAGATGGTTAATACAGATATACTGCATCGACACTGTGATACAAATAAAGTGTTATCTTCAAGAATGTTACTTTATATTATTATACGAAATTCCAACGACTGTGCATTCTCCATTTTTAGAGTCTTTATAAAGGCCGGGAGATGTGGCTGGGAAAGTGGATTTTGAGATAGAAACTAGATTTAAACTAAATACAAATAGACAACATGGGAGAGCTTAGTGAGGGTCATCCATCCATCATTGTCTAATATGGGGAGGTGTGTGTGTGTGTTTCAATAATTAATAAAGGTTAGTAGTCTGCCCTTCCATCTGTGGGTCTGGGATATTGTGTAAGCACACACTCACAGACACACAGACACACACACACACACGCACACACAAATGCGGTTATTTAAGGAAATAGCACCATCCCCGGGAGAGATGGGATGGTGGCTAACGTCACGGCTGGCTGATTTAGCTCCTGGCCATTAACCCATCTGACTCATACACACACCACAGGGGGAAAAAGAGGATATAGAGATGCAGGCGATAATATTTAAAGATATTTTTGATAGAAATGTTCCTTCACACAAAAATGTCTTAGTGTGACTTTGGAGGCAAAGGAAATGGAAGTGGGAGATAAAATAAAAGCAGAGAGTGTTGTGTGTGTTTGTTATATCGCAAAACCAGATTCTACATCCCACACACACACACACACACACACACACACACACACACACACACACACACACACACACACACACACACACACACACACACACACACACACACACACTCTCTCTCCCTCTCCCTCAAACACAGGCGCACACACACACACACACACACACACACACTGTCTCTCCCTCTCCCTGGCTCTCTGCATGGTAGCAGCCATCATTGAAAGTGACAGTGGGAATTTGGTCCAATTTGTAGTAAATCTGCCTTTAATGACGACCAGCGCTCGCTGAATGAAGGAGCTGTGGGTATGGAAACGAAGGTGTGTGTGTTTGTGTGTTTGTGTGTCCCATATCTGCCTGTCCTCTTCTGTGAATATCTGTTCTTCCGTGTGTTTCTATTTGCTTTTTATTCCTGTTCTCTGTTCTCGCTGCATGTGTATTTGATTACAACTGCCACCCTGTCCTCTCCTATGTGTGCTCCGTGTCGCCTGTTCACGGGCCACAGCTCCTCATGTATGGACATGGAAAACACACACACACACACACACACACACACACACACACACACACACACACACACACACACACACACACACACACACACAGTTGAGCAAATGGTAATCTATCATGCCCTGTAAACGTCAGGTGGCTCGTGGGGGCAGAGCAATCTACATACCCCGAAAGCCCCTCCTCCTCTTCATGTCCCTACTCCTCTTCTTCGTCTTCCTCCTCCTCCTCCTCCTCCTCCATAATCAATTTGCCTCCATGAGAGCGAGTCCCCGCCTCTCCAGCGGACGACACAAAAAGGCAAAAAGCAATCAGTATCTTGAGGTTAGCGCCATCCCTCCATTCCTCCTTCCATCCATTCCACCAGCTCCCAGTGAAAAGAGACTTATGTATCCCTCTGTCTCTCTGAGGGCCCGCTGGCTGTCACTCAAACTCAGTCTGTCCACCTGAATGATTGATGCTGATTTCACCAGATGTTGGGACGATGGGCAGTTTAACTGGGAAATTACTGATCAGCTCACCGGTTCAGATTCATTGGAAAATCAACATTTTAGAGTCTTATTTTGTTTCTTACCTTGATTTTTTCATTAATTTTAAAATCTATTGAAATATTTTAGTGAATTAGGATTTTACAAAGGGAATTTAAATATCTCTTCTAATCCATAAATCATATAAAACTGTAAACAACCTTCAGAAAATGTCTACATGTTTTAAGAAATAAAATGTTATACGAATCAGGCCATGGATGAGTATTAACAATATGTAAAAACGTTCAGTATATAGATAAGAATAAACTCAAATGTGTATTTAGTTTCCTTTCTAATAGTTTGAAATAGGACATAAAAACTATGTCTGGCTTTGAAATGTATTTTGGACCAACCAATAAAATCATGGTCTAAATATAAAAACATTATTTTTTGTATCAATTGATTATAAATACAGTATAATCTCAAATGCCCTGACATGTTTTAGTCAGCGGTCACATCTCTTTCCATCTTTCCCTTATATCCGGTGAGTACGTCTTGTCCGTGACCTCACAGGGTCCCGCCCCTCCTTTAGGTTAAACGGGTTCAGAGAGGGGTCTGTGTGAGGTGGGGGGACAGCGTGTTGTAAGACGTGTTTAAAGCACCCTCACCTGTCTCACCCTGTTCACACACAGGCCTCATTACCACAACACATTTATAAAGTGCTTTGTCTCCCCCCTCTTCCTTCCTCCCTTCCCTCCCATCTGTCTGTGTGTTTGTTTCGCTTTGCTGTGCTGCTCATTTCCACACTCTCCTCCTTGCTTTGACATGGCAGGCAGCTGGAATATCCAGCCCCCATAACCCTCCCCATCAAAAATTCATACAACCGGGCAAACAGACGTGTGAAGCTGCGAGAGTGAGGCGGCGACACCCCGACTCCCCCATCAATCCCTCTCTTTCTCTCTCTCTCGTCTCCCTTCATCTTCACCTCACTCTCTCCCTCACCTCACATTTCATCTCCTTCTACCTCTTTTTGCTTTTCCCCCCTTCTTCACTCCCTTTCATCTCTCTATCACCCCCTTCTGTCATTGTGGCAATTTTCTCCCTTCGAGGCAGCCATGCGACTGTTGTCCCCCCCCCCCCCTATTCTCTTGTCGCTGTTTGACACTGTCAACAAGCAGGTAGAGGTGGCTGTTATTGTTGATGCCTCTGCAGAGGTTCCAGGTAATGAATAAAAGAGAGATGGAGGGAGAGGGAGATGACAGAGACGGAGAGAGAAAAGGGGAGAGACAGGTGGGGGTGTTGGCAGATTCCCCTGCATTACACAGCAGCTTGACTGTGTCACCCGTGTTTATTCTCTTTGTTGGTGGAGGTGAAGCTGCTGTTCAGCTTTCACACACATATACAGGACACACACACACGGTAGCAAGACTATACAGATGTAAATGCACGCAGGTACACACACAGCAGAAGCCGTAATGATACATGTATGTTTACCAAGCACACACAAAGACATTTAACTCATAACAGACATATGTGTAATTGTATACGCTAACTCGCCTCTCATCTCAGATCACATGGAATCAATCACATCCAATGGAATACTCATGGAAAGTGAAATGACAACTAATGAGTTAATAATAACTTTCACAGCAGCTGACTAACCCTTTTTTATTTTCTAGGTTTCTGATTTATTTTCACTGGTTTTAAAATTTGTTTTTCTCTATGTCTATTTCTTCTATTGTGGAATCTTGGTTCACCATGTACGCATGCGAGATTAACAAAGTTGGATTCAAAAATTCAATAGGGGATGAGTTATTGTTATTCAAATGGTCAATGTGTGTGTAAGTATTCCTGACATTTTCTTCATTTACCTTAAATTACGTTTTGAGTATTTATATATCCAAATCCTGCTCTATTCCCCTAAAACAGTGCAGTATATTTGAGAGTGACCTAGACAATCCAGTCGCACAGGATTAGAGCCTGCCACTCATATACTAAAACAATCCTGACTGTAAGGTTGTTGGCTAAAACTTTTTTTAAATAGTGTATCTATCCTTTAAACCATTTGTTTTCATAGGGCGATTCCCTATAGCTAATGAAGTCACCAGCCATGCAGTTCCTCACTAAGTAAACACATGAACTCTGTTAATAGTGAGGGCATACACTTGTTGTTTGAATCCCTACAAATGTAAAGACGAGCAACACTCCACATCATATATTGTGCATAAAGAGAAACATACTTTCACACTACTCCCCCTCCTCTATCTCATCACACATTCGTTCCTATCCCTGTGCAGCTATGCATTATATTCCTGTGCGTCACTTTGTCAAATCTTCCCTCAGATAAGTGACACATAAATAAGGCTTCTTGTTCTTATTATCCACCCATCCAGCCATTGAAAAAGGAAAGCCCTTGTCTACCAGGGCATGCTGTCAGATTAGAGGTTGCGCTCAATTCCGTGTCCGAGGGGGTCTGCGGTGCTAACAGGGTCTCCATGCAAACATGACAACCCTGTCTCGCTTTTTCTACGTCGAGCCTGCCGCCACGCATCAAAAAGCTAAGAGAGGGAAAGTCAGATAAAGAGCAAAGAGAAGGATAAGAGGTCAACAGAAGAAAAGGAAGGAACAACAGATCAATTGAGGAGGGGGAGTACATGTATCAGATGGGTACAGTGTCAGAAAAGGGATTTGAAATAAAGTAACAATGTTTAATTTGCCGGTTTTATTTGCAGGATAGAGACTAGATTATAGATTTGATCGTCTCTTATCTAAAATGTCACACATGTATCTATCTACACGAAACAGCTGGAACGTGTGTTTCCTACTTTCTTTCCTTCATTCTTTGTTTCACTGAACTCCCCCTCCTCTCTTTCCCTTCTTCCATATAACATTTACAAGTCAGCCGATTGTCCTCCGCATATTGCAGAGTTAAGGCGACCGCAGGCTGCCTGCACTGGCAAATCAAATCACTGCAAAATCAGTTATTTCCTGCTTTTGCCACCGCGCAAAAAAAAAAAGCGATTTGTGTGTGCATGTGTGATGAGACAAATCTAAAGGAATGATTGCCTCAGTGGAGAACATCCAGCTGATGTTCCTAGTAATCCTACCATTAGCGGTAATGTTTTCAATTACCATCAAATAGGGTAGCAGAAGATTTAAAGCTGCTATGACAATGGACAGATGGATGGATAAAAAGAGGAAAGACAGGCCGAGGGATTAAAGTGAATAAATGTGCTAACCTTCCAAAAAAGATGTCGTGTTTTGTTTTAAAGATCAGACAAGATCTCAGAGATGGGAGAAGGGATTCTATACTGCACTGCATACCATGAAGAACTCACTACATCCTATGTTTGTCTTTGTTCTCGCCTGCAGTAAGAACCATTCACCCAAGGAAGGAGCAGCCACTCCGGGAACCCCGAAGGTGAGAATCTCAAATTTTTTGATTTACTGATAATACTGGCCTTTTACCACCTGCTGAAATCAAAAATGCCTTAAATGCCAATAGAGAGAGGGACATTTTGATATATAGTGTAGTTCTATACTGTAAGAGCTTTTTCTTCGATGTCTCTGTTCCTCTCCGCTGCACTAAGGAGAAATCAGCTGTACTCGCCTCTGTCTTATACCCTACACACACACACACACACACACACACACACACACACACACACACACACACACACACACACACACACACACACACACACACACACACACACACAC